GGTAAAACCCAGACTACTATCAACTGGTCAGCACTATAGCTGCATGAGACTGCATGAGGGCATTTACAGGGAAAGGAGAGCGGCATATCTAACTTATGATATTATCCATAGTTCTTTTTTGCATTGATAAAAGTTTAAAATGTGTGAGGCTAGGACAGCAATTAAATGACTATTCCACTGAGGAGCAATTTGTTATGGCAAACTACCCCTGGTCTCTAAAAAATAATTAAGCTAATATGCAAAATTGTTCATTATGTTTGACTGAGAAGAGTTTCAGCTGAATAATAAGATCTAGAGTAACAGTTAATCAATGATGCATATTCTGTGCAATTTAATTCATGCATTAAAACTCTGCAATTTATTTGTAACAAGAAGTTGGCTAGGTAGAGAAATTAATGGATAAATTGAAAACCTCAAATCAGCTGTCACTCTAACAAGAGGTCCATGTATCTTAAAACCGATGCAGGCTACATTGATATCTGAACACTCTGTCTATAAAGAAAGAGGTGCTTGAACCTCAGATCCTCCTGAAGTTAATGTATAGAGACATAAGAATTTGCTGGCTGAGTTTTCTGAATCCTACTGACTGAGTTCAGAGTGTGATAAGTACCTATACCAGTAACATGATTAACAACAATGTGTCACTACTAATTACTGCCAAGATCAAATTAATTTTAGGGTGAGTAGTTTCACACCCTCTCTTTGTTTAAAGTAAAAGTACACATTTGGATTATTAGACACTATTTTTTTGGAGGCAGCATTGCAAGAAATACAAGGAAGAACAAATTGATCAATGTAGCTTAATTCTTTTCACCTCAGCTTTCAGATGTGCATTATATGTCTATATTTTATCAATTAAGTAGATTGGCAATTACAATATTATACTGCAAACAAAGTGTGTCCTAAGGATGCATGGCAAAAAACACAAATTCCTTTCAATATAATTGCTTCACCAAATTGTTGAAGCACATTGTACAATATGTGATCTATTCAATATCAATCATTCGGCCTGTAGTCAAAGTACATTTTATTATTATCATAATCATATTATAGATTCAGTTCAATTTTAAAAGTCTCCTTTGAGATGATTTTTTTTAAAAATTGTCTTGTCCATACTTGATGCCAAAATTCATCACTGAATTCCATTTCCAACAGTTTTGATCTTTTTGACCTTGACTTTTGAAAAACTTTTACCTTGGTCATAAATTTGAATGGTACGTGCTAGTTTTAAGATGTAACTTATAATTCCCGCTTCCGTAAAAGCAAATTAGGGACATTAAATCTCATTCATTTGTCCATTTGTCAGTCTGTCCATGATGATAGACTGTCAAAAAAACTTGGTCATAATTTTTCAATGAGTATAGAGATAGATCTTTCTTTTCTCAAATATACATTACCTGTGACAAGACCTTTCCAAATATACTATGGTTTTTGACAATGTGATCTTGAAGTTTTGACCTACTTTTCTATAAAATTAACATTACCTTATGGTCATATATTATTTTTGAAAGAGAAAAGATAGAGTTTTCATATTGCATAATTATGTATTTCATCTGTGACAAGGCCTTCATAAATATGCTATGATTTTTTTACCCAATGACTTTGACTTTGAAGTTTGATCTATTTTTCAAAACTGTTGATCTTTCCTCATAACGTTTAATTGAGAAAGAAATATGACTTTCATGTTTGCATTACCTGTGACAAGATATCTGAGTGATTTTTTACCCCTTGACCTTTACGTTTAACATTTTCAAAAATTTTGATTTTGGTGATTCCTTTTGAATTCTTTGAAATTGGCAATGTATAATTAAAGAATTTGTATTAATGTTGTCTAAAGCTACATGTACAATATATATTGTAAAAAAAAAAAGGATTTATGACTTTGGACTCCTAAGATCTTGAGCATTGATAAATGGAATATCATTGATATGTGGAAGCTAGGACTTCAGACAGTAATTAATATCTGGCAGATATTGTTTCTCTAGGAAATAGTAGTGTAGTGATATCAGACTTTAAGCCTGCTAGATTAGGAGAGGGAATGATGTCTCACAAGATGTTGTTCCCTCAAATTAAAATAGAATGCATTTTTGTCTTCAAATTTATCTTAACAGCCAAATTGTCATGTTCATCTGTTTAGAAACTCCTAAAACAAAGCCTTAGTGATCCTAGCCTAAGCTAATCAGATCTTGAAGAACTTATAACTACAGCTTATCAGGTAAAGTAAACAGGAGATTTACAGCCAGTGATAGGAAATGGACATAAGAAATGTTTTCACAGATGAAGTGGGAGTTATTATCAGATTCAACTTAATCAGAGAGAAAGCTACTGAAGATAGCACGGAAAGGGGCATTTTCTTAAAAGGGGGAGGTAAAGGATGTCAGAGAGAGGGAGAGGAGGGAGGGAGGTAGGGAGAGGAAGAAGAGAGAGAGGAGAGATGGAGGGAGGGAGAGAGAAGAGAGAGAGAGGTGGAGGGAGGGAGAGAGAAGAGAGAGAGAGGTGGAGGGAGAGAGAGAGAAAGCTTCTGAAGATAGCATGGACAGGGGCATTATGTAAAAGGGGGAGGGAAAGGATGTCAGAGAGAGGGAGAGGAGGTAGGGAAAAAGAGAAGGGGGGGCTACTGAAGATAGCACGCAATGGGTTTCTGTGTAAAAGGGAAGGGAAATGATGTCAGAGTGAAAGAGAGAGGGGGGAGGGAGAGGGAAAGGAAGAGAGGGAGGGAGAATCGGGAGTTTTAAAGAGTGTATGAACCATATTACATTGCATTCATATCTCAAGAGTATATGTAAGAATTAACACTAATTTTTTTTATAAGCAACAAAAATAGTTAATATATTAATACATGTATCACATACATGTATTTTTACCCCCCCCCCCCCTTTCTCCCAGAGGAGAGAAACAAAACATAAGGTATTTTAAGTTTGTCCAAATAAAGTTATTCAGTGTATCTGCATTATCAGTTATGTTCAGAAGGAATGTAGATACACACCACATAACTTTGTGAGGGGATTCATCACCAACAGGAGAGGTAGATAAAGGGAGATAAATTATATCAGAAATGCACATAAAAGTCAAACCACTTTCTTATAAGAAAACCTGGAACATTACTACCCTTGTAAATAGAAATGAACTCACTTGTTAATAAAAAGTTTGCCCATTGTACAATATGATATGAGAGACATATTATCTTAATTTTTTGCAGCATCCACGATGTTTGAATGATTTTTTTTTTTTTTTTTTTTTTTTTTTTTTTTAAATACAAATGTTACATATTCATTGAACAACCAAAAAAAAAACAAGATTTTTTTTAATCTCAAAAGCTTTAACAATTTTTATAGAGTCATTTTCTCATTATTGTAACATGTAATTTGAAGAAGGTTGCAGTGCAGATTCTAATTGTAATTAAAAAGAGGAAGTACGATCTATAATTGAGAAAAAATTCAGTCATACATCTATACAGTTACATAGGAGGCCAGTCCTCAGTTTATTAAACTTCAGCTGTTATTAAGTATAATATGTTTCAGTAGGTTTGACATTTGTTATTGACAACGGATGTAAAAAGAAGTCAGTTATCAATGCTACGCACACGGGGAATCCTGAGATATTTTTATTGGGAAATTTTAAATGAAGCGACAATTCTAATAGCAGTCAGTTTCCTTGAAAAGGAATAGGCACTTGTACTCTGTTAATTAGATTCTCTTTATTGAAATGTTATGAAATCTAAAGTAATTACACTGGCCTTTATCATGGTCAATGTACCACAGTACATCAGGACATTATGTTGGAATTCCTTGTGGATTAAAAGCCTAATTTAAGAAGCAGGGTCCTATTGACTTTTATATTGGTTATCTTACAAAAAAAGCATTTGATTCAGAATTTATTGAGTTTTCAGATGCCTTTAAATATTTCAGTGCCTAACTTTTCATGTCTGATGTTGATCAGTAAAGTGATGCCTTTACAAACTTACATGAGCAGTAACATTTTCTCCAATAATAATTATTTAAAAATGCATTGAAGTGAAATGGAATTTTTAAAAAATGATATATAGGCTCAGTAATTACAAATGAAACTTGTTCCTTTTAATTCTTATATTTTTATTTGTTATTTACTATATTAAATTATTAAATACTTTTTTATGATAAATTTTAAAGGGGGATCACAGCATTAATTTATTTATTTATTTTTACAGAGTAAGATTTTTACAGTCAACTGAAATTTTGCTCTTTAATCTCAGTTCTTGAAATGAAGTAAAATGAGCTTCTGGTAGATATTATATATGTTATGATCAAATATTGCAGGTTAAAGTCTTTACTTCTCATTAACTTTCTTAGAAATGGCAGCAATGAATGATGCATAAATCCTTAATTACTTTAAATTACAGACTGTATTGTTCCCTATTATGTAGCTATCATCTGTATCGGTCTCCTTGATTAAAGTTGGTGTACCTGTAAATCAATCTTTATTAATTATTTAACTTCAGGGATCATTATTTAATTCTCTTAACCAAGGACAGTATTATAATGGGGGCATTCCATGGAAATTTGACGACCTTTAGATCTCAGCTAGATGATGAAGTAGTCTTCTTGATTTTCATTAAAACTCAAACTTACATTTTACATATAGTTCTACAAGAATTAACTGATTTAAACATGATTCAGTTTCTTTTACAAAGTATCGATCCATTTATTTATTGTGTGAGAGGGGTGTGTGTGTGTGTGTGTGTGTGTGTGTGTGTGTTATATCACTTGCATTTTCATTTTTATTTTTTACATAAATAAATTAATAAATAGATAAGTAAATATGAATGAATTCAAATAAACCTATTTTAATATTGTAAAAAGTGCAATAGTATATTACACTGTATTTTATTGCTAGTTAAAACAAAAGAAGGAAAAAAATAATAAACTGTTTTGCAAGTGCATGAGTACAATATTTTTTAAACTTCGAAAAATAAATTTTTAATTCTAAGTGTCATGGATTCAGAGCTGAAAAATCAAGCTTACCAGCTGAGGGTATAATATTTCCACAACACTCTGTCATAATTATTGATTTTAACTGGCACTACTTAGTGTATCCAGAAAGACATTCCCATTACACTGTTAGTCAAAGTCTGCCAAAGTCATGCCTTGCTGTTTCCTTTTTATAACCTCCAACACTGGAGAGCTCCTATCAGATCTTGCAGTAAGACAGGTCTGGGTTTTGATGTCTATGATATATAAATATCTGAGAATTTCCTATTGCTAAATACTTTTTCGGTTTTAAAAAGAATCAATAAACAGCATAATAAAGTGAGGTTAAGAGTGAAATTTTATTGATTGAATCATTTTAATTTAATTAATTCCATCAATATATTATGACACAGAATTCGATGCAATATATATGTATGACATACAAATTTTATTTTAAAGTTTAAAGATTCTTTAAGTCAATTTTTGCATTCACTGGAATTACTTTTAGTCTACATACTTAAGGCCTTACTTTTAGAAATTTTTAACATATGCACTAATTTATGTCCTAGCTGTCATAATTATTCTCACAGCTCTTACATGCATTCATTATGATTTTTAAGATAAATGAGGTTTATTATCATCACCAAGTCATGGGTTTCTGATCAACTTTCCTCACAATACCTTGGCCTATGGTACTTGATCAAAATTTAGGATTGTTTACGCCAGGTAATTTTCAATCTTATCCCTGTTCAGACTGCAAATTAAATCTCTGATTTTTGACAGAATAATTTATGAAAAATTTTTTCAGAGTTTTTCGACAATAAAAAAATTTTAATTTTTTGCAAACTACATTATAAATTTTTTGAAATCAATAAAGCAAGAATATTAAATATTTATTTAGTGAACTTACCTTATTATTGTAAGTTCCTTGATCAAGACTTGAAAGTAAAACAGGCAAAAATTTGGTTCATGCAAATAAATCTGTCAAATTAAATAAGAAATTTGGGTGTGTTATGGTTTTAGTGGAAGGTCCTTTAATAAACAAGAGATGGAAACTTTGGGCTTGTGACGTCAAATAAGGACATTTTATATACCTGAAATTTATGGCTACTAAATAAATATGATATCAGTTTACAATGACCATGTAAACACTCCTCATGTGGAATTCATTTTAAAGAAACATTTATCATAGTCATATCAGCATGAATTACTCAGGTGAATTGGTGTGTATTACAGTACGCAGTACATCTGGTAGCCATGAAATTCTTCCAAGTTCGACTTAATTTTTTTGCCAAAAAATTACATCTATTACAATAGTAATGGAATGCTTTGTCTCAAGATTCCTTGAGTTTGTGCTAGACAAATTAATGAAAGGTTTAATGAAATCAATTGACCTTGGATTTTCCGTTGTATATAGCGAATGAAATCATAAGTCAGATCTTGATCTATTAAGGTTTCATACGCTGAAGTCTTCAAAGTGGAGCTATTATGGCTTTGTTTAGCCACCTGTCTGTTTTATCAGAGCAGATCTCAACAAATCCCCCATCCTCTCCACTGCTTTCATTCAGAATTGATATCAGAAGAGGAAATTAAATGTAAAACAGAGATCACAAAGCCCGCACAGATAATAACCAAAATCATTGTAATGCGGCTTTTTTGTATATCCATATTGTATAAGCTAAATTGCTTAGTTATGGCCAATTGAGATAAAAAGTATAATAAAACCATATAATATAAAATGATATATATGTACTCTAGGCTAATTTTCTTTTTTTCTACATGCATTGTTCTGCAACTTATTGGATAGGTATATCGCAATGTTCTCTTAACAATTTCTAGTTCTTTTAGAACTTAATTGGATCTGAAATCAGTTAGTTCATTATACCAAGGGTTAGTAATTATTATTTCAGTATAATTGAACATGTTGAAATATTCTTATTGATATAGTTTATTTGTTCTTCCCCTTAAAAAGTATTGATTATCAACTAAAGTGAATGCATTAAAGTTGTGTATTTTAATGCCAGATGGAAAAGACTGTTTCAGGATAACTGCTGACATGTACTTTATCTTTGCAGGCAAAATATTGAACATACAATATTGTACAGTAAAACTCTTTTAGTACAAACATGCATATTGCAAGTACATGGATATTATAGTGAAGTTATGTTGGATCCCCAGCTATATAAATTTAATGAATTCCTTATTCAGATATAACAAATTATGGATATAGAGAAGTGATTTCATAGTTAAGTTACTTTGTTATAACCGAGTTTTACTGTAAAAGTAATACATTTTGGTGAAAATTATGTAAAAGCAATACGTCCAATTTCCACTATGGAAGAGTTATACTTCTTAGTGCGCTCTTTTGTAAAAAGTTGCAAAATGTGCAAATCTCGCAGGATTTCTGGGACAAAGGTAACATAAACGTAAACAATTTGTTGGATGTCGGTGAACAAATTCTAACAAAAATCAAATGAAACATTTTATTGTTGTGGACTTTATATATGCATCAAGAGTAGAAACGACAGCAATATCAATTTTTATCTATTGATTATGGTATGTATCTGTTTATCATCTAAATACAATGCACATGCCTCCGAAATGTCGTATTTTTATTAATGGATGATTAATTTAGGGTTCTTGCTCTCTTACATATATCTATTAGTTCATCTATTCTTTAATCGGAATGACAAACACATTTAACTTTGAAAACTGGATTGAGATTGGCATGTTTTGAATATCCATTGGAGCGCAACGTCATAAAGCTCCTAGTCAGAGGACCAAACGCACCTTTAATTGACTGAAGAGTTCACTTAAATGGAAATAAAACATATTGTTTAATATGCATCATTTAATTATATGTACAAAGGATCTTCAATTAAACATTATTAATTTGCTCTGCAAAAGAGTAGTACCACAGATGTTTAGGGCTAATTATTAATTCTTAAATACCTAGAATAGGTTAATAGATGTATTTCAACGTTTAGGAATTTTGCATTGAGCGTGTGGTTCGGGTAAACACTCCTTGTCCAATGAGTTGCCATCTAACCTCAGGTAGATTTTCTTTTGACATTTCAGGATTTTTGCATATTTACATAAATTATTGCATCTATACCCCCTCACCTGTTCTTTTTGTTGAAATGGGTTACATATAATAGCAGAGACATGCATGATACATGTACAACTATCCTTAATAAGGAGAGGGGATGAGTTGAGGGGCAATACCAGAGTAAAATTGAGGGACTATCTCTTGATAGATGGGGAAGTTTCCCAGCTCCAAGGTCTTAGGGACTTCACTCTGAGTTTAATTCATACAAGTGATTAGTTTTTGACAGTCATGTAATTTTTAGGTGTGTGTGTGTGTGTGTATCTTTATTTGGTTCGATCTGAATACCACCATATGATCTGATCATTTACATTTTTGAAATAGTTGGGAAAAAATAACAGACAGGAAACATTATACAGGGTTTCCTGAGACCCCCCCTCAGTTGTACTTCAGTAAATGTGGAGGGATTCCTGCATTTATTATTTGCATCTGCAGAGGATGCAGAATGAGGAATTCCCATATGACAGGGGATTTTTCCAGCTGAGAAGAAATAAAATTCTGAGATTAAATAGTCAAATTTTTCCTGTCACTGCTTAAGATTTCACTCATAACAAAAATAGAATTTATCCCTGAATTAGAAGTTGATCTACAGCTTTTAGGAGTAACTAAGTGCTAGATGGTGTTTTTTAATTGATACTTTCTTTCCATCCTTAGTAAATAAAATCAGGGCTGAGATCAAAAGGTTGCTGAACTATGTCAATCACTTTGTCTATCTGTCAGTTTATTAATGAACAAATCCGTTAGTTTACTTTCTAAATCACATATCAAAATCAGCAAAATTAGAAAAGATATTATATTTTATTAATAGCATCAGCATGCAATCAGTCAATGTTGACAAAGAAAAAAGCCAAAGAATTAGTATATATATTTATCATCATTAAAGTTATTTGCATTTTAATCAGATCAGCATATAAAGCATATTAATTAATGCCTCCTGCTCGCACAAATTTCTCAATTACCATAGATCTATGTGTTGAAGTGAGTTGGATGCCCCGGCCTATATCTGTTTTTTTACCTCCATATCTTGCATTCTCTAATATCTCTGATATTTATGGTCTCATTGAGTTTGTGGCAATGAGGGTTGACTGTATTAAATATTCCAGTTTACCAGTATACCTTCTATAAAATCAATGATGTCTAAATATTCACTCAGGTCTTATTATAAGTTAATCCGGAATTCTTGAGACCGATTCTCAGAACTTAAGTGTATAATGATTGTCATTGAAGAGGATTGGATATAAAGACATGCTACAGCAAAGCAATCGGATATGACACATCTTCAGATCTAACAGAGTCTAATCAAAGCTTTGTTAGTGATGTAAATTAATCTACAGGGAACCTAACAATCAATATACAAAAGAAAAGGGAGACAGAGACTTAAGCTTGAGTGATTAATGTGAAAGTCAGAAGACATAATAATCTGTAGAAATATAAAACTTGGTAATCTTCAATTGGACTGCTTGATTCAATGGTCTGTTGTTGTATATTGATACAAGGAAAAGCATTTTCTAGATTAAGGCATTGATAGAGAAGAAAATTGATACCTTAATTGGTTTATCCTTGTATTAAGCAGAATAAGTGAGAATAACTGTAGCATATTTTATCAATTCAATTCAGTTCAATTTATTCACTCAAAACCATGTAAATGGTACATGAGGTACAAAAACATATAAAACATATATACATTTTGAAGCAAAGGTGAAATTGAACAGACAATTAATTTTAGAAATAAGTGTACATAAGTTTCAAAGACATTTTGGCAAATTTCACAAAACTTGATGATATTTGGATTAGAGCAAAATTTTTGGTTCAAATAAACTTTCCTTAGTTGGTTTAGAGCACTACATTCTAGAATATAATGATACTCATCTCCTGTCTGGTTACTACTGCATAAGTTACAAACTCTTTCATTTCTTTGAGTACCATTCCATCTATCTGTTTCAATTGTGGTGATTTGTGGTATAACAGAAGTTTTTTAAATTTAAAAGATAACAGTGTTAAATATTTTTCGCACTCAAAATTGGTTTTAAAAATTCTATAATTTAAACTTTTTGAAGATTCTTGAACTTCGCTATTCCAGTTTTGAATATATTGTTTGTTTGACTGTAGCGGTTATCCATTCTACATTATAAAAATATTGTTCGTGCTCATACCATATATTTGATAAACCACATCTATCAAAAATCTTCTGTACAAATGATATCCATGAATTTTTCATTTCCTCTTTATCATGTTTACGTAAATACAATATACTATTCTACACAATTTGTTTTCTTTTCCTTTCACAAGTTTTGCCCAATATTTTATCATTCTTGAGTAAATATTTATGTATAATGGAAACCTACCAGTTTCTCCATAAATCATATAACTTGGAGTTTACTTTTCAAATTCAGTATATGTTTTAAATAATGTAGATGTACTGTTTTATCGATATTTTCATACCCCCATATTTCACAGCCATATAACAATACTGGTGAAACTACTTTATCAAACAAATCTAATTGATATTCGAATGGGAGAAAACTGCCTAATTTTATGTATTACACCATACATTGCCTTGTGTGCTTGTTCACATAGGTGTTTTCTTGCTTTACATAATGAGCCTGTACGAGAAAATACAATCCCTAAATAATTAAAATCCTTGACTACTTCTATGATACCTGCCATTATATGTAAAAATATTCTTTGGCTGTCTACCCTTTGAAAAAAAAAGTATCTTTGTTTTCTTGATATTAACACATAATTTCCATTCTTCACAATATTTGCAAAATTCATTTAAATAATGCTCTCTGAAGATCTTCAGCAGTTTCAGCAAGAATTACAGTATCATCAGCATAAAATAAGATAAACAATTTCATATACAAAAACAACTCATCCTGTATACCTTTGCTAATACTAGACAAACCAACAATATTCTTTTCTGTCAAAAAATCTTCCAAGTCATTAATATATAATGAGAATAAGAAAGGCGATAAGTTTTCACCTTGTCATACACCAACATTACAATTAAAAAATTCAGATGACAGACCATTCATTTGTATTTTAGATTTGATACCACTATACATATTTTTAATAAAAGTAAAACATTTACCATCGACCCTATATCAGAACTACAGTGTGCATTAATAACTTTGATTTTAAACAAATGAATGATCCAAAAGTTTGTAACAGGAGACCTTCTTTAGCAGCATTAGACTGAGGGTTATGGAGTTGATTGACATATCACTTTGTCTGTCTGTATGTTTGAATGTGAATTCATGACACTTTTTTGTCATGCAAAAACTAAAATAGTTTTCAATTTAATTTTTTTTTTCAATATTATTCAGAATTACTCTTCTATAGGAAACAGACTTCTTTAGATTTGCATGTCTATAGGTTATACAATGTTTGAATGTGAACGTTATTTCTTGACACTGCAGTTGTCGATGCAATCAGTATAAATATCAAAAATTTAATTGCACAGAATGAAGTATTACTTAACAGACTTGGAAGAAATATAAGTTTCATATCATTTTGTCTGTCTGTATGTTATATGTAATGGAATGTACTTTTAACTATATATCCTTTCACAGGAAATAGTGAGTCCCTTTTTAATTGTTTCACTGTTTTCTAGTTTCAGATGTAGTGCAAGTGTGCCCCTTTCCTTTGAAAAAAAAAATAAAATAAAATTAGTTTATTACCAGACTCCTTAATTACAGAACGCTGTAGTAATTTCTCCTCCCAAAAACCCCTCCTCCAAATAAAAATACTTTATTTTTTATAGAGTGTTATATTGAATTTTAGGGAGAGGCAAAAGGAAGAAGAAATGAAGAAGATTCATGAGTTGGCTGAACAATTAAAGGATGTTACAGGTAAATACTGGTAATTAATGTGTGGATAAATCTGGCTACGGGGCCATAAAACTTAGACGAGCTCACTTTTGATCTCAATCTGACACTTTTTACAATGGATTATATAGTGGGAAAGTGAGACTGAGATCAAAAGTGAGTTTATCTAATTCTTTTGGCCATGGAGCCTGGACTCAAAATTGAATATCTTCATTTTAGCACAGGAAGTCATATTTTGGATATCAATGTCAGTGGTCACTGAGAGAAGGGATAATTAATGAATATAGAATACACAAAGCAAATAGGGGGAGGGATCCTGAATTAATGGAAGATTTCACAAGTTTATTCTGATTAATACTCGGCAGAAGGGCTAAAGAAAGCTACAGACTAATTTTACTGCTGTTGTCTGCTTTGTCACTTTAATGATTTTTTAGCTCTACTGGTCAGAGACCAGAAGAGCTTATGCGATGTGTGTCCGTCCATCTGTCTGTCTGTCAATCCGTTTTGATATCAAAACGCTATCCTCCTACAGTTTTGAATGATTTTAATATAACTTGGCACACAAGTAGACTACACTAAGATACGTAGAATAGTGCATCGGTTTTTGATTTCGATGAACAGTGTTGCCATGGTTACTAAATATAGAATTTTCTGTGAAATTCCTTTAAAACGCTACTCCTTCTACAGTTTTGGTCTGATTTCAATATAACTTGGCACACAAGTAGACTACACTGAGATACATAGAATAGTGCATCGGTTTTTGATTTCGATTAACGGTGTTGCCATGGATACTAAAAATAGAATTTTCTATGAAATTCCTTTAAAATGCTAATCCTCCTACAGTTTTGGTCTGATTTTAATATAACTTGGCACACAAGTAGACTACACTAAGATACATAAAATAGTGCATCGGTTTTTGATTTCGATGAACGGTGTTGCCATGGATACTAAAAATAGAATTTTCTATGAAATTCCTTTAAAACGCTACTCCTTCTACAGTTTTGGTCTGATTTCAATATAACTTGGCACACAAGTAGACTACACTAAGATACATAGAATAGTGCATCGGTTTTTGATTTCGATGAAGGGTGTTGCCATGGTTACTAAAAATAGAATTTTCTGTGAAATTCCTTTAAAATGCTAATCCTCCTACAGTTTTGGTCTGATTTTAATATAACTTGGCACACAAGTAGACTACACTAAGAGACATAGAATAGTGCATCGGTTTTTGATTTCAATGAACAGTGTTGCCATTGTTACTTAAAATAGAAATGTCTGTGAAATTCCTTTAAAATGCTACTCCTTCTACATTTTTGGTCTGATGGCAATGGCTTCTTTTCTCATCCTTCGTTATATGTACAAACCAGTAGAGCTACAGTCTCGACAGAGACTTCTGGTTTATATTCATTGAACATAATTACAGTGACATACTCCATCAAACAAATTTCTATGAAACATTGTATAGGAAAAACAGACACTGTATCTTCCATTATCTAATGTAAAACTCTCAGATCTGATCTTGAGGATTCACATTAGCTCATGTTACGTAATACAAATCAATAGAGAGTATTTAGCTCACCTGAGCTGAAAGCTGATATCACTTGTTGTTCGTGGCCCATCCATCTGTCTGTTAATTTAGCTCTACGGGTCAGAGACCAGAAGAGCTTATGCGATAGTAATGCGTCCGTCGTCTGTCCGTCTGTCTGTCTGTCCGTCTGTAAACAATTTTTCAAAATGTTACTCCGCCTACAGTTTTGGTCTGATTTCATTATAACTTGGCACCCAAGTAGACTACACTAAGATACATAATTCTGTTTATCGGTTTTTGATTTCAATGAATTGTGTAGCCGTTGTTACTAAAAATAGAAATTTTTGTAAAAATCATTCAAAATGCTACTCCTCCTACAGTTTTGGTCTGATTTCAATATAACTTGGCACACAAGTAGACTACACTAGGATACATAATTCTGTATATCGGTTTTTGATTTCGATGAACGATGTTGCCGTTGTTACTAAAAATAGAAAAATTTGTGAAAATCATTTAAAATGCTACTCCTCCTACAGTTTTGGTCAGATTTGGCCCCGTGTCACAGCAGGTGTGGTACGATAAAGATCCCTCCCTGCTCAAAGGCCGTAAGTGCCGGGCATAGGCCTAAATTTGCAGCCCTTCACTGGCAATGATGACGTCTCCATATCAGTGAAATATTCTGGAGAGGGACGTTAAACAGTATACAATCAATCAATCAATCAATCAAAATGCTACTTTTCCTACAGTTTTAATCTGATTTCAATGTAACTTGGCACACAAGTAGACTACACAAAGATACATAATTCTGTTTATCGGTTTTTGATTTCGATGAATGGTGTTGCCGTTGTTACTAAAAATAGAAAAATTTGTGAAAATCATTCAAAATGCTACTCCTCCTACAGTTTTAATCTGATTTCAATATAACTTGGCACACAAGTAGACTACACAAAGATACATAATTCTGTTTATCGGTTTTTGATTTCGATGAATGGTGTTGCCATTGTTACTAAAAATAGAATTTTAAAAAAAATACTTTCAAAATGCTACTACTCCTACAGTTTTGGTCTGATTTTATTATAACTTGGCACACAAGTAGACTACACTAAGATGCATAATTCTGTATATAGGCTTTTGTTTCAATGAACGGTGTTGCTGTTGTTACTTAAAAAAGAAATTTCTTTGAAATACTTTTAAAATGCTACTCCTCCTACAGTTTTGGTCTGATTTCAATATAACTTGGCACACAAGTAGACTACACTAGATACATAATTCTGTGTATCAGTTTTTGTCATTATTCTATTTATTGCTTTTGTAAAGTTTTAAATCCCAACTGCTACTTTTCTCTTTCTTTATTATAAGTGTGGCCCATCCATCTGTCTGTAAACTTTTCACATTTTGAACTTCTTGCCAAAAATCACGGGGGCAATTTTAACCAAAGTAGGTACATAGCATCCTCGGGTATAAAAGGGAGTTTAAACTGTTGAAAAGAAGACCAATCTCCCTTATAAGAGAAGATAATCAAGAAAATACAAAATAGGATGTGGTCATTAAAAAATCTTGTCTCAAGAATTAGAAGTTTAATACATTGAATTTTATATACATGTATTAGGAAAAAATCTTTAATTAAAAATTTTCTTTTCAAGAATTGCTGGGTCAGAAAAAAAAAATTAAACTTATATGAAAGCTTCTGTCTGGAAGTATAGATTCTAAGTTGTTCAAATGAAGACCCCTGGAGGTATAGGTTGGGGCACAATAAAGCATTTCAAGGGGATATCTGGTGAAAACAATAGGACCATAGTTACTCAGGTGAGCCTGGTGGATCACAGGCCTCTTGTTTCAGACTTTAATTGATGTAAAGCTGTGAGCTGTGACAACAAGGAAAGTTATTCCTTAATTGTATGTGGCTAAGCTGTCTTTAAATTAGTCATGGATTTAATGTTCTAGTTCTGTCAGGAGATCTTAAAGTTACTATATTACTGATGCAGTAGCTTGTTTACAGTCAAGTAAATTAACTGAGTCACTCTGGTGACTTAAATATTGCTATCTTTTTTGTTTGCCAAGCAATATACATCTTTCATATATATATGCATAATTTTTAGCTTTTTCTCAGGTAATGGTGTTTGGGTGGGACATAGAGTACATATAGTGAATATGCCCCCCCCCCCCTTTCTCTCTGAATATTTATCAGACAAACTGCCAATTACATGGTGAGAAATTGAGGGACTGTATTGGTCGTAAAGCAAATTTGCATTTATTCATTGGAAATCTTCTCTACCTCTGGTACGTTCTTAAGCAGGCAAACTAAGTGCATTATTATTTATGATGAGCAAAGGTGCCTCTTTACAATTGGGATATTAGGGGTGATCAAAAAGTTCACAAACTATCTCTTTATTTTACAAAACCACAATTCAGATCAGATTGAAATATGGCACAAGTCAAATAGAGTCATACACATGTTCTATAAATAGCATACCTAATGAAATGTTTTGCTCTATATTTGTGAGATCACGATGTGAAAATGTGGCAAGTTCCCTAGTTGTTACTCATTTTCTGAATAATTATTTTGTTGATCCCTTATATATTTTTTTTTAAAGCTGTTTTTGAATTTGTTTATTTTGTGTTATATCCATGGATTCCTTACAAAGTTTTACTATACTCAGGTTACTGTTAAGGCCCTTGGGCCTCTTTCTGCTTACTATAACTATAGTTATTAGTTAAAGTTATCGGTTAGTACATATCCTCATTTGAAAATAAAAACTTACACATCCCTCTGCTGAGAAGACTTGAATTAAATTGATGTGAAAGCATTTGTAATTATTTTTAGTAATCAAGGACACAGAAACCCCCCGGGAACATGTAGTCGTGGTAGAAAATGTGACAGAGGATATAGGTAGAAATTAACCTTAGTAAACTGTATTTCTTCAAAAATTAAACTTTAAGTCAACTATACTTGTTCTAACAGAATTGTGCACATTTGAAATTTTTTTAATTGAAAATTTCTTGTGTACAAAAGATGTTTTAACATTCTTATTTTCCCTATATAAGTGCATTGTATCCTTATAGTGACACATTGTTGAGTAATGATTGTTTAAGAATATTTTCAGTACACATGTATAGATTATTTTTTTGTCAATATATGGCAATAAATTATTAATATGTATTATTTATATTTACTCACAAAGGAGGTGTTGAACAGAAAATAATCCATACTGAGCAACCACATAATGGAGAAAAGAGTCCTGTCCCAGATCAGTCAGGGAGGGATGAAACTAAGGGACTACCCCAGGAGACTAACAGTGAAGGGACCGAGGTGCCTGGAGGGGGAGATAGTCCAGGGGGAAATAATGGGGAAAACGACCCCACCACAGGATGCACTGGAGGAGGGGAGTTGCTGGGGGCAGAGGGAGGGAGTGAGGCCCCAGTGGTACCACCAGTGTCAGCTAATGAGGTGCTGAGGCAGCTGGAGGCTCAGGTACAGTAACAGGATTGGTCAGTTTAAATTTTTGGAAGGTCAACACTACTGCTATATTGTGAAAAATTTCAACTCATTATTGCTATATTTCTTAGAAATTTTGGGTGATTATTACCGCTACATTTTATCAAAAGACAAATGCCAATTACTGCTACATACTGAATCAGCCAGCATGATGCAGCTGAACATAAGCTCTGTTCATCATGATGAACTTTTTTAAGAAATTTCAAACAATCAGTAAACTCAATATCAAAATTACATTCTAGAATTGCATGCAATTTAGATTTATGGCAAAAATAAGGAGTTTCATTTCTCTGCACATTGATGTAAGGAAGGAAAATGAGACCAAGGTGTGTGCTGTAGCTCATGGACCTTGTGATTTCAAGTCTGGTGTCAATTATAGTACAATAAAAGTACACATGATGGTGAGACAGACTAAACAAATAGTCCAGTTTTTTTGCCAAAGCAATGCCTTACTAGTGACCATCAAGGGATTCTTTATCATCTACTGCTAACTGTTTATAAACTGAGAATTAAGGAAGTCAGAAAAATGTGAGAGGAAAATAAACATTTCAGTGATGCATCTGAAATAACAAGAGAGAAGAAAGTAATTAGAATTAAAATCTCAGTGGCATTCCTTTGTGTGTACCTGTCATGAGTAACCCAGAGTCAATTCAGTACATTATCTTAGAGTATACGAACCAATTTTCATTCAGAGTGTTTCATTGTAAGATTACTGTATACAGGGTTATTTTCGCCCCGTGTTATTTTCGCCCTTTTGCACTTGTGAACAATTTTGCCCCATTTTAAATTCGCCCAGTCATAGTTTTGTTTAAGAAATTATGCTGTGTAATTTGAATTCGCACCGTTTTAAATTTGCCCAATCAGGAAGAGGGCGAAAGGGGCGAAAATAAAACGGGGGCGAAAATTTCCCTGCATACAGTAATTTGTATGATGTAAATTAAAATATAAAGTAATTAGTAAAAAATGCTTGTCTTTAAGCTTAATGCCTTTGTTTTTAATTGTAAGATTTATCCATGTTTTTTTTAAATTTTTTTTTTTAAAAAAAATATTTTTTTATTCATAAAAGTGTTCCTATAGTGAATTAGTATTAAATTAAAAAATTATCTCTTGAAAAGATTGTTCTTATCAATTTTAAATATCTTTGAAAAGGGGGTGGAAGGAAGCTAACTGCCTTTTAACAATGAAGTACTGAATACAAGGAAATTTTTGTCCCCATTTTATTTTCCCCTTTCTGCCCTCTTCTTGATTGGGCAAATGTAGCATGTGGCAAATTCAAATTACACAGTATAATTTCTTAAACAGAACGATGACTGGGTGAATTTAAAACTGGGCAAAATTGTTCTTAAGTGCAAAAAGGCAAAAAATAAACCTGCATACAGTATATTTGGTTAATTTGTATATTTTCAACAATGTTAGTATGAATTCTCATTTGTGTGCCTATATGTGACTTTTACAGGGACACACCCAGATGTTTGCGGTGACCCCCCTACCCTGGTGTCCCCACCTGGAGACAGTATCCCCCGTCCCCCGGGGTCGGATAGATACCAGCTCCCCGTGCGAGACCTGTGGTGATTCCTCTGAGAACTGGATTTGTTTAGTCTGTTACAAGGTCAAAACCATCTCTTAATTCCAGTGTCAGCTATTTTTATACCCCCTGCAAATGAAGTTTGGGGGGTATATAGGAATCACCTTGTCTGTCTGTCTGTCTAGCTGTCCGTCCGTCTGTCCATCCATCTGTCTACCTGTGCAAACGTGTTCGGTCCATATCTTTCTTATGGAGGAACATTAGAATCTGCTACTCCACACAAAGATTGCCCATGACCTAAGGGTGTGTCATGACCTTGACTCAAGGTCATTTGAGGAAGTTCAAGGTCACTGGAAGAAAAATTTCATAATTTGTGTCCGGTCCATATCTTTCTGATTAATAAACTTGGTAGGTTCTCATTTCAGGCAAAGATTCCTCCTGACCTAAGGATGTGTCTTGACCTTGGATCAAGGTCATTTTGGGAAGTTCAAGGTTACTGGAAGAAAAATTTCAGAATTCGTGTCTGTTCCATATCTTTCTTATGGATAAACGTGGTATGTTCTAATTTCACACAAAGAATGCTCATAGCATTAGGGTGTGTCATGACCTTGACCTAAGGTCATTTGGGGAAGTTCAAGGTCACTGGAAGAAAATTTTCATAATTTGTGTCTGGTCCATATCTTTCTTATGGATAAACTTGGTAGGTACTCATTTCACACAAAGATTCCTCCTGACCTAGGGATGAGTCATGTTCTTGACCCAAGGTCATTTGGGGAAGTTCAAGGTTACTGGAAGAAAAATTTCATAATTTGTGTCCGGTCCATATCTTTCTTATGGATAAACTTGGTAAGTTCTCATTTCACACAAAGATTGCTCATGACCTAAGGGTGTGTCATTACTTTGAACCAAGGTCATTTGGGGAAGTTCAGGGTCACTGGAAGAAAAATTTTATAATTTGTGTCCGGTCCATATCTTTCTTTATTATGGAAAAACTTGAATCTACTACTTCACACAAACATTGCTTATGATCTGAAGTTGTGTCATTACTTTGAACCAAGGTCATTTATGCAAGTTCAAGGTCACTGACAGAAAAAGTTCATGATTCGTGTCTGGTCCGTATATTTAGTCTATTTTTTTATTAGGCTGTGCCTTCGTTTCATTTAAGAAAAATATAATGAGCAACTACATTTGCACTAAAAATGTTTTAGCATTTTTCTCTTCTCTTAGATCCATAAAATATTCATGATTTAGCACTTCTGAAAAACCCAGCGGGGGGTATTTTGTCCCGTTTGGACAGTTCTAGTTTACACATAAATATTGATTTATACCAAGCACGTGCAGTTACTTTTTTTACAGGAAAAGTGGTCAAGTTTTTGTTCATATCAGCTATATTAAAACTAGTAATAGTGAAACCTGTCTAATCCAACATGCACTGGGGAGACAAAACTTTATATTGGATGTACATGCATGTACTAAAAAATGAAAAAAGAGGTTGGATTTTACATTGAAATTCATTGCACAGTTGTCAGATTAAACAATTAACTATACCCCCCGCTTGAAAAGTGGGAGGGTACCGGGGTATATAGTAATTGGTATGTCCGTCCGTCTGTCTGTTATGCTTTTAGATACCAGACCTGCCTACCCTTCCACTTTTGGCATAATTCTTCTGCTTTTTACCATAAAATTACACTATTACGCCACTTAAATAATATTAATTTTACGCTTTTGATATTTTAGTTAAAGAACAAGGTATGGTTTCTATACAAATCTTGCCTTGTGGTTTTCTAAAAATTAAAAATGGTGTAAAAGATAAAAACTAATGCTTTCTGAATCATTGAAATTCCATGCAGAGAAATCGTACAAATCATTTTTCTCACACATGTTTTAAATACCAATTGTGACGTCAAAAAATGAGCATTTTCCATGTTTTTCTTGGAAAAGTTGCAAAAACACAATTTTCAATGGAAAAAAGTAAAATATTGTCCACAGGCATCGTCCAAAAATATTTTGAGATATGTGATTTTTTATTGACTGTTTCACAACATATCAAAAAATTAAAGTGGGCGACGGCTGTGGACACTATTTTCTAAAGGAAAATTACCCTTGATATTGGCTAATTTGAGGCATTTTCTGTTAAAAATACAAAAATGCATCACATTTATGACGTCATATTTGCAGAATGGTAATTTTTTGCGCCATATTCTTTCCTCATTTATCAAAATCATATACTTAACTAATATTTAAGCAAGTTTAAAAACTTTTTGATGACATAACATTTTTAGGGCAAAATAAAGTTAAACCAATTCCATTTGAACGTCTAAATTTAGTGTTAAAGTACAACATGCTGCAATGAAATGAGAAGTTCTTATAAAAGTAATTCAAAGAGGACCAGTTCGATAATGTACGTGATATACCAAGTAGTTACATGTAAACTGGTATGGTGAAGATTCAGAAGAAGACGAGAATTTAAGGCACTACTTACATTACGATATTGCAAAATGTACGACCATTTCTATGCTCAATTAAGTTTACTTTAACATTGCTTAGAACAAGATAGAGAAATGTGAGTGCATGTTTAAAAGATACAAAACAATGTTATAATGTACGATTTGTTTTAACATTCAAACGAAAGCCTTCAGTTCAGTGATTTGATACAAATTGACCAAATGCTTCATTAAGGGTGTACAGATGAATTAAGTTTAATATATGGATACTGGTATTTTACAACACTTTTTGCGCCAATAGATGATTCGAAAAATTAAGAAAATTGTATGCCAGCTTTGTTTAGTAATGTACAATTTCTGTTGTTTTGAAAGAAAATAAAGTATTATAGTAAAACAAAAAAAATAGGAAAACATGATTGATTACGCTTTTACCTCTGAAATTCCACCAAAAATGTACTGAAATTACACCCTTGAAATGAAAAGGTTAGGCGGGTCTGGGATACCCATCTCTTATCTGCAACTCCTCTCATACCACTGACTAAAATTTGATGAAACTTTCACAGAATCTTTATTACATATTGCTATAGTGCACCTCATATTTTACTTTTTCATCCGACACATATTTTGGGTTTCCCACAGCAAAACATGAACACTGCCATTATATTCGCATGGGAGGTGGGGGGTATCATTTAGTGAGCTCATTGCTCACATATGAGCCTCTAGTTTAATTCACTGCATTAGTGTGGATATCAGACAGATCCAATAAACAAATAGTGATGACTACTTTTAAAACTAGCTTAATCAGTACATTTAGCTAGAACACCTGTTCACATTTGAATTTCTTAATTCATATTTGTTACAAAGTCATAATACAAGAGGATAAATAACTCTACCAAGATTTTCTTTCATTTCAGATTTACTGTAGCCGGTTTGTCAATGAGCACATGTTGATGCATGGAGTAATGGAGACCCACCTAATGTGCCTGAGTTTCTCTGATCTGTCAATCTGGTGTTACGGGTGTGAGCATTATATAGATAATCTGGTATGTATACGTTTTACATGTGATATAATTTCTAGAATTGTAAAAACAAATTTAATTACATGTAGTACCTAAATATTACCAATAAGTGTTTAAATATTATAATAAATGAAATTTTGGTGTTGCCTCTAAGTGATATTAATATATCGCTTTACAGTATAATGCCAGGTTTTAATTTTCTCCTCCTTAGGCACTATTTGAGGCCAAAAATGCAGCTCACCTCGACAAGTTTGGTTCAGCTCTTCCTAGACCCCTGTCTCTGTCGTGACGTTATTGCTCAGATGAATAATGTTATAATTATTGTACAGATTAGATGACTATTTAAGAATTTAATTTGTAATCATTAATGTATATTGTATACATTTATATAGGATGTACTAGAATACATAAATAAGTTTTAACATAGAAAAAATTATAAATTATCTAAAAAAAAAGTACAAATTATTTAAAAAATAATAAAACCTATACTACCCAGCGATTACATGTATTTTTTTTAGTTTTTCTGATCAAAATTTGTCCGTTGTCTGTCGCCGTCATTGTTGTTGTAAACTTTTCACATGTTCATCTTCTTCTCAAGAACCACTGGACCAATTTCAACCAAACTTGCTTCAAAACATCCTAGGGTAAAGGGGATTCGAGTTTGTTCAAATGAAGGGCTGCGCCCTCTTCCAATGGGAGATAATTATGAATATGTGAAAAATTAATGGCATTTAAAAAAAAATCTTCTTCTCAAAAGCCACTGGGCCAGGAAAGATGAAACTCGTGTGGAATCATCCTCAGGTAGTGTACATTCAAGTTTGTGGGGCCACAATGGCCGATCAAAGTTTTACATAAGAATATATAGCAAAAATCTTTTTCTCAAGATCCATAGGGACAGGAAAGATGAAACTCATGTTGAATCATCCTCAGGTAGTGTACATTCAAGTTTGTTCAAATCATGACCCCCCGTGGATAGGGTGGGGCCTCAAAGGCCGATCAAATTTTTACATTATAATATATTTTTAAAAATCTTTTTCTAAAGAATAGCTAAGCCACGATTAGTGATATTTATATGGAAGCATCCTCTGGTAGTGTAGAATTAAATTTGTTCAAATCATAACCTCCAAGGGTAGGGAAGGGTCTCAAAGGTGGATCAAGGTTTACATACGAAAAATAAAGGGAAAAATCTCAATAACAGAAAAGCTATGTTAAGTCATATTGACATGTAAGCATCCTCATGTATTGATTTAAATTTGTTCAAATCATGAGTACCCTTTGGGGTAGGGAGGGAAACAATGGGGAGTCGAATTCAAATTATTACAATTGAAGTAATATATAGAAACAAAATGTTAAAAAAAAAACATAAAAATCTTTTTCTCGAGAATTTTCTCAAGAACTTGTATGCAGAATTGATATGGAGGCATTCTCAAGTAGTATTAGAATTCAAGCCCCCACCCATCCCACTCCCTCAGTAAACTTTTCAATTCTGATCTGATTTGTGCTTTTCCCTAGCCAATGTGCTCAGGTGAGCGATGTGGCCCCCGGGCCTCTTGTTTTTTTTACTTGGATACTATATTTCTGTTGTTTATAATGATAATAACTAATTTCTTTGAATGTCGGCTGCTCTACACCTGGTCATAATTGAGCGCTGTTCATTTTCAGATAAATCAAATTTCCTATTTTCCAACAGGTTTATCTGTTCAGAAGAAAAATTATCACTAAAATTAATTCTTCCATTAAAATAAACAAAGATAAATTGCACATAATATTGTAGAAAATAATGAATATCTTGAGAAAAACGATAATTGTAAAATTTTCATCCCAGTCAAGATTTTTTGTGAAAGAGGCCCGAGTACAAAGTTGTTATATGCAATGGTATTGTACAGTGGCTGGAACGTTATTGTTGACAAACCAATCGTGTAGAATCGTTCGTGTATCGTGAGTGATCGTTCGTGTAACGTGCGAGATCGTTCGTTTATGAGACTCAATCGTGTGCGTTTTTAATCGTGTGAGATCGTGCGTTAAGAATCGTGTAAATTTCGTTTTGTAAGTTTTTATCGGAATGTTATTTGTAAAATAAGCATTTCCCTTGTTTGTTTTTCTTAATTTATTAATCAAAATCCAAATAAAATGAAAAAGAGCAATTTACATAATAGAATGCAGAACGAACTAATTATCGCCCGTAAACAAGCAATATAGTAAGTCGTACAATATTAAGTTCTCGTCAAATAGCGCGATCAATATTTTGATAAACCGTACTTAGATCTCTAACGCCTTTTTGAAAAAAACTGATTTTAATTATTATTTACTTCTTATTGTGGTCAGGATAATCTTGAAATCAATTCATTGAAAATAAATACTGTTTTTTTTTTTTACAAAGAAATAAAGATTTCTCAATGCTTACATAACTAGTTAGTCGACAAATATACATGGACACGGCATGATTTTCGAGAGTTTTGATTATCTGTGTTCATCTCTTGAGCTTATTTGTAATGAATTAATTTTAAATTTCTGCAAATAAAAAAGTTGAATAATTGGCAAGTTTATCAGACATTGAATCAATGGAAACATAAGGATAGAGTTTGTAATTATAATTTAAGTCATTCCATGCTGCCATTTTTGTTCAATCTTATCCCCCTTTCTGCACATCATGATATCCAATTCAGTCAAATTATACGACCCGCATACATGTACATCGTCTAATAGAAGGAACAAAATCCGTTTTCTTTCATCGGAGAATTACCTTAGAAATAATTATTTTTAATCTGAAATATTAAGTCTTGCATATATTTAGTTACAGAAATATCAATTTCCGTTTTTTTTTCTTCTTCAAAGTCTATGAAATAATGTTGATAATTCTTTGAAATCTTAAATAAGTATTAAGCCGTATTTCGTTTTGAAAATATTGATTCCTAAATATTTTGAACTATTTTGAGTGAAGAAACGTGCGTTTGCGTTAACGATCGTGTAAGATCGTGTAACGTGTAGAATCGTGAACGTGAAAGATCGTTCGTGTAACAGGTTTAATCGTGCGTTAATCGTGCGGAATCGTTCGTGTAACGTGATCGTTCGTGTAAGTTGTCAACAATAACGTTCCAGCCACTGTACCACATTTGTAAAATTCTGGATATTAAGTTGTATGTGTTCCGGACTGACAAGGCTCTATTCCTCTAAAAGAAGTTATTCCCCTTTGCACATCATCAATTTATATACAAGTTTATGGAAAGATTTTTCAAAATATAGAATTATACAATTTGTTCATAATAATTATGTACCTATTTTGCCAAATCATTGTTTTTTGTGTAGTCTTCAGCAGCATTTTAAAAGTGACAAAATGGGGCAAGAACTGTGCATGCAAGTAAATAGATCTACTTTTAACTTTATTTTATGAGAACTATTTTGATTGACCCAGATAAGCATCTAAATCAATATGAGGCTTATGAGCAGCAGCATAATTTCATCAATTAGCTTACCGGGTATACTAAATATATTGTTTTTTATTCATACTTCTATGGAGTCTTATTATCCTGTGTTGTTATATTCCGGTGATGGTTAATCCCCTTGGGGCTTCTGTTGAAAGCTGCACTCTAATAATTTCAGCATAATAACAAACAATTTTTTATTTTTTTTTTAAATTTATTTTTATTTCTTCATGATATATGGATTAACTTGTGTATACTTGAATTTTTAACATCATCCCTGAAAATTCAACAATAACAAATCACAGTTTAACAAAATATACAATGAGATTAAAAATTACAATAAAAATTGAAAGAAAAAATGTTATACTTTAATATAGTCTTAGACTTTTATAGCTATATACAATATTGCACTTCTTATGGACCAAACTCTACAAAGACAGAATAAATATTGACATATAATACACATAAGGATTTCAATAACCATGATATCTGTGCTTGACATCTAATTTACAGTCTTTCTCATTATTCACTCCATTAATGAGTTAACCTTTTAAACAACACAATGCCAGTGATATTTTACTATGAATATACTGTAAATGTATTATATTCAGCTTGTACAATATTTAGCGGAAAGTGGTTTTTAAACAAGTTCGCGTAGATTTGATTTAGCGCATTTCTTGATATTCTTATTCATGTATCATTGTTTAAGACATTTAGCGATGTACTTGAATTCGCGGAAGCATCTTTCCGCCAAAAGTGCTAAAAAGAATACACCGCCAAATGTAATACGTTTACAGTACCTTGCATGTATCAACACATTTTCTAACATTGATAAAATTTCAAGAAATCCAAGAATTTATAATTTCCGGGGTAAATCTTTTTTAAAAATAGAATTGGGATTTAAGTGAAATAGCTTCAACACATCCATAATATTTGAGATATATATGTGGGTGTTAGAGATACTGTAGTTCACCTGTACAAACTAGATTCAGATCTGAAATGTCGAATGACATCATTTGCTCTACGAGGGATGTTCGAAAATTATTGAGACATTGTGTATATTTTGCTTTCTAATGAACGTCTTTCGGTGAAATTTTGCAAGTACGTTTGACATACTCTTAAGAACTAATAAAAGCACGACATATTTTACAAATATTTAATATTTTCTGTACAATGGTATATAAATACCTCAATATTAGGGGTACCCGGAGCAGTCACAAAATCAGATGTTGAAAATGTGTAACATCAAAGTTCTAACTCTTCGTGGACCCATAATAAGATCGAAAATAATTCAGTTTAAAAGTATAATTTTTCCGCTTTATTTCAAATTTATGCTGTGCAACTTTGATTGAATTTTGATCAGAAATACGGAGTTCATAAAAAAATTAAGCGTGGTTAAGAAATCTGCTAACAATGTGAAATGTATTTTGACATCCAGGGTGGAGCAGCCAGCATACCTAAAATTTTAAGTAGCGCAATGTTAAACTCTTCCCCAGACAGACCGACCAGCTAAAACAATAACCAGAAAAAAATAATGTGTAAGGGTTGATTCTTTCATTGATATACATTTTTTTTTCAATTAATTTAACCAGATTAAAGTTATAGCGGCTCTGGACGACCATGCGTTGTTACGTACGGTATTGATATCGTTACGGTATTAAAACCGCTATGTATAAATCGGCACTGCATGATTCTAAGTCACTCTTTCAAACAAATGAAATTTTTATTGGGGTAGCAACAACATTTAAGGAATGACTCTAATTCTTGGCCAGATTATCGAGTATAATATGGTTTGGGTCAGTTTACGCTTTATAATCCGCGAAGCGGATTATAAACAAGAATTAGAGTCATTCCTTATAATTTAATTTTAAAATAATTAAACAACTGGGGATGTAAAATTGTGTTGTTTTTATTAGTTCAAATTTACCGCGCAATAATACAACCGTAGTAACGGAAGTGATGGGAAGCAAGGGGAGGTAAAAACTGATACATAGATCTAGCAGCCATGATGCTTGTTTACATGAGGTAAGATCGAGCAACTGTTTGAAGTTAAAGGTACATTCATTAAATCTGGAATTTTTCATGAATCCGAAGGACTGGAAATGAGGGGATTGATGGATACAGATGATTCAGCTGGTTGTCAAGGGGGTGTGTCCCCATACCAAACCAGATTATACAAAATGTTATGCGTTCCTTTTTGGAAATCAACCAATGAGAGACAAGAATACAAACAGAATTAAATTATTTACTTTTAAAGTATAGTTTAAGGAAAAAATTGTTTGATTTTTGTGATGTTATATGTAATATTAAAGAAGGAAGAGTATTAAACACATCCCAATTCTTTCACATGCTAAACATCTCCGGCTGGCTTAACGTTATATGACGTGGCGATGCTGCTCAGGGTCGAAAGACATATGCATGTTTATTATTTCACCGAAACTTATCTAATTATCATAGAAATAAGAAATTTTGTGTAATTGTTTTACTCGTTCTCTATAAAATGTTGATGAATTTTCATAAAATTATCTTCATTATTTATGGAGTAAATGTAATTGTCTCATTAATTTCCGAACAACCCTCGTATTTGACAGTTACATACACAGCACTCTTTAAAGGCTAAACAGGTAGCTACTGTTATAAGCTTGATGAATACGTACATATCTTTAAATAATAAAAACTTATTATGTTAAGGTTGACCTTGTGACAACCTCAGCAATCAGGTCATCTACTCCTTAACAAAGTTCGATGTGCAAAGGATTCAAAAGCTATGGATAAGTACCGGGTAATATCTATTTCTATATGTTTATTTTGACCCTTGGACTTGGACAGTGAACTAAAAAATTTATAGTTCATTTATGTCTTACTTATTTTACAGCATTTTACAGTTTCAAACATTGTGACCCAAGAATAGAATCAAATTTAAAACTAGAACTGTCCAATAGGGACAAATACCCCCCGCTGGGTTTTTCAGAGAAGGTGCCAATTCAAAAATACATTATAGATCTAGAGGTGTTCACAATTTACTTACAAAAATTGGCAGTGAAATATAACTGCTCATCATGTTTCTTAATGAATGAAACAAAGGTACAACCAAATGAAACATCAATACTAATACATTGTAATTCCATTGTAACATTATTTTTTTTTTTTTTATTTTTTTTATTTCTGCATTAAAAAAATATATTGCAATTATGTGTTATGTCACTCTGCAAACGGATTGTTGAAAAAAAAATAATATTATACAAAATCAAATTAATTTTGATAACTTTACATCAAATTCATTTGAAAGTAAAGAGCTGGTCATCCAGTAATGAAGTGCTTTGACAGACAATAAATTACAATTAAGAGAATAAGAGAAGAGAGATCTTTTAATTCTTGTGCCTGATTCCCAGGAGATTACACATGGTTGATAATGAGATGCCTTAATGTTCAACTTCCCACACCAAACTCATTAATTTATCTTTAACTGGATGCATGTCCAGTCATTATTCCCAAGAGATAAATAAAATTACATTATCTTCTGTGCAATGTAAAAACTGTTTTTAACACTTGATGATGTTTCTTTTTTTTAAAGTTTATACAAGTTGTTTTAAGCTGTAGTATTTTTGTACAGATATTCTAGATTCTATGTCTCAAACCTTATACATGAGCCCAAAATAAACAAGTCAATTAAAATAAAAAATAAAACCTGTAAAATGCAAAAAAATGAACAAAAAGAGTTGAAAATTCCAATTGCACACCTTCATATGGTGAATAATAAGTGTACAAATTTTCAAATTAATCCTTGCAATAGTTTCTGAGAAACGGTCCGGACAAAACCACAAAATAAAAATGAAAAAACACCTGTTAAATTCAAAATAATAATCGAATCAAGATGAAAATTTCAGGTGCACAACTTCATATGGTGAATAATATTTGTACAAATTTTCAGACAAATCCTTCCAATAGTTTCTGAGTAATGGTCCGGACAAAATCTCGTCTACAGACAGACGGACAGACGGACATGGTGATTCCAATATACCCCCCCTAAACTTCGTTTGCGGGGGGTATAATAAAAGGCTGCCTCCAAAGTTCTCTGATTGACATAAAAGTAGACTGAATGAGATGTAAGCATTTTAAGCAAAGGTAATCTCACAGGGAATCGAACATTTCATTTTCTGGAGAATGCTGCTGTTTCTCATCACCATGAGGTGACCTCTGATGAATTTTAGGTGAACCTGGATGAACTTGAGATGACCTCTGATGACCTTGAAGTGACCCCGAGTTAACTAAAGGTGACCCCTGATTCTCCTCAGTAATGTCTTCGTTGGAGCATTGGACATTGTCCACAAGTGAATTGTTGCTCCCACTTAGTTGTAACACGGATTTATTATATAGCACATTTTCCAGAGATTTACTCCACTTCCCCTCCTGTGAGCCCCTTACAAACAAAGCCCGCCTTTTGGTGTCAAACTCCAAATCTTTAGCAATTCTCCCAAACTCCCTGTCCCATAAAAGTACACACCCACATTCATCATCTACAACAGACACGTTTTACTAATTGAAATTTTAGTTTTTAGAACTGTAAATATATTAAGATTTTTAAAACAAGATCTCTTCATAGTATACCTCTGTCATTAGTTGTTTTATCCCCCGAGTTGTCATTAAAACCAAAGCCCCCACTGAGAACACCAGAAAATCTCTCCTTGTCAGGCTTGTTACCTGTAAGCAGACAAAAGATTGTTTGCAAACTGCACTTCTCTAGACAAAGCACCTGTCATTTGAAAAATTAGAAATCTGAGAATCCTGTTAAAATTCAAATATACATCTCTTAACAAAGACAACTATATACATGTCTCGCAGTGGCAAATACAGATCACTAATTTTTCAAATTATTCAATTTCTAATATCTCATTTGTTCCTCCTTTTCTATTAATTTATAAAAAATTAACTAGCAATTTAATTCAGTTCTGAAATTCTAAACAGTAAAGTGTTAAATGAATTGTTGTACACTTACTTTTGAACATGTAGGATTTCAGTGCACGTACAGGGCCGCGGTACCTATGACAAGAGGTGATGGATTTCCCCGATTTACCATCCATCAGTATTATTCTGCCATCTCCAGTCCCCGCCCACAATATCCCATGATTCAAATCTCTAATTCCATGATTTTCTTGTAAAGCAAGGGAGGTAAGCCTACACTGTGTTGGCTTCAGTCTATCCAAAAAATACAAGGCAATTATATAAAGGGCAAATGTGATTCATTGAAAACTGGAAAAATTATAACCAGCATTCTGAAAATATTGTCCTCTTCCCACAAACTACTCACCCAACCAGTGGGGAGACGTCAAACTGAGCTTTCAGGGTTTCCTTAGTGAGGTCCCACATCTGTATGACAGGTGATCCTTTGTGGCAGATGAACACCTGGGACTTACTGCTGACACACAGGCCATAAATAGGCACAGACCTTGCACTGAAAAAAATAAATATAGTCAATACAATGAAGTCAGCCTTATAATAAACAAGACATCCTTAGTCTTCCCAAGAGCCTTATAAAATACCGTTTTCCTGGTAGTGTTTTAAAATACCTGTCCTTTCTGGTCTCGACTGATTTCTCCAGGGCTATCCCCCTCCTGTAACTCAGCATCACAATCTTTGACCCACAGGAGCAGTACACCCTCTTACCCCTGGCCTCTACTTCCAGGCATCGGACGGCTTCATGCTTCTTACCTGGGGACAGGAACATTGGGCAGGCTTTTTCTTCCTAAAACACACAAAAACTTCCTCATCAACAAAGGTGTGACTCAAAGATTTGTGATATTGGATTGCAACCACCCTTGGAAGGCTAAAGATGCTGAACATCTACATATTATAGTTTGCAGCTAACTGTAAAGTTTCACGTTACGTCACGATCTAGTTGACAGCTGCGCTCAAGGTAAATTGTACACGCCTCCTAACTGCAAGCTTTACGACTGGAACTTTCTTCTTATCCCTGATTGGTTGCTTGTGCAACAGACTATTTCCATGTCAATGTTGATAATTTGAGTTGACCAATCACGTAAATTGTTTACCCTGTATGCATCTGACGAAAAAGATCTTGACGTAACGTGAAACTTTACAGTTAGCTGCAAACAATATTAAATTGACAATTGAAATTAAAAATTTAGTGCAATCAATGGGTATTGAGTGGTTGGCGTAATCATGAATTAACACTACAAACTTCCAAGCTTTATACTGTATGCTAAAATTTTTTTTAATGGTATTCATGAATTAGCATATCATTGTCCATGCATGCCAAATCCTCTAAAATATAGAAGCCCGCTTTTTTAAATATGTTTTTTTGAAAAAGAGTAAGGTCATTGAGGGCCCTACAAAAACCACAAAACTTTCAAAACCGTTCATACAGTATTTAAATTCATATTGCCGAAATAAAGCTGAAATATTGCCAATATGGCTTATAAATCAATAATAATCAATCAATCCAAAAAAAAGTGGTCAGGACTTTTAATTCACTTTGACACAACCATAGGATTTGAGATATCAAAGTTTGAGATAACAGAGTTCAACTGTATATTCCTATCAGAGATTCAAACATACATACATAAAGTATTTCCGATTGTGGAAACATCGCTAAAGTTCCATTGGCAAGACCCACAAATATAAGGTCCTCAGCCTTGGGTCTGAAATACAAAAGTTTCAGTAAATTAAAGAAAAAATTGACTCTTTCTTTATTTCAAACCAAAAAACTAGATTTTATAAAATATTATCACTCAATAGAATGTAATTTACCATACAAAAAGGACTTACACATTTAACATGCAGAGAACAGCATCAGGTAGTAGTGTAGAGCAGTGTAGAAACTCGTGTCTGAGTGTATGATACAACCAGACTCGGCACATCTGAGTACCCACCAGTAGATAACCCTGACTGATCGACTGTAGAGCTAGGATTCTCCCATACCTAAACATGGCTCCCTATAATATACAACAACTAACCCTTAGTCCTACTGTCAGTGTATGATACAATCAGTAGATAGTCAACAGTTAAAGTATATCATTGAGGGAGTTAGCATGATTCCAGTTCCCCAAGACCAGGACTATTTCCCAAGGCGAAGCATGCCGAGGGAAATAGTCCTGGTCGAGGGGAACTGGAATCTTGCTAACTCCCTCAATGATATACTTAAACTGTTTTATTATACAGATACAAATTTAAATTGTAAAGATCACCTTTTTAAAAAAAATATTTATTTACTGATTAACTAATCATTATTTGTTGCAAATACCAAATAAGAAGACAGTTATTCCCTAAATCTACTGCAATCATTGGATTTTGTTTGTTGTTTACGTCTTATTTTGTTGTGTTTTGTTACATGAAATACGTCATGAAGCATTGTGTTTTTGCATCGCTCTATTATGACGTCACAATGAAAAGCTAAAACTGCAAATTAGCATGACTAGCTTTCGACCAAGGGACTAGCTCAAAAAAACTAATGCACGAGGATTAGCCGATTCACAGCGATTTCTAGGGAATTGTTCAGATCTATAACCATGTCACTATGACGTCACAATGAAATGCTAAACCTGCGAATTAGCATGACTAGCATTCGACCGAGGGATTACCTAAAAAAAACTAACACACGAGGATTAGCCGATTCACGGTGATTCCTAGGGAATTGTTCAGATCTAATCACTTAATTTTATATAGGGAAAAATCAGTAGAGGTATAATAACCCTGACTGATCGACTGTAGAGCTAGAATCCTCCCATACCTAAACATGGCTCCCTATATTACATAGACAAGAGGCCCATGGGCCACATCGCTCACCTGAGCACTGGCTAGGAAAAAGCAGAATTGGTTTATACTTGAAAAGCTTAAATCCAAAAGTAGTCCCAAGACCAATCATGGCTTTGCTATTCTTGAGAAGAAGATTTTTAAAGAATTTTCCTATACATTTCTATGTAAAACTTTGGTCGGCCATTTTGGCCCCGCCCTACCCCTGGGGGTCATGATTTGAACAAACTTCAATCTACACTACCTGAGGATGCTTCCATATAAATATGATCAATTATGGCTTTGCTATTCTTGAGAAGAAGATTTTAAAGAATTTTCCTATATATTTCTATGTAAAACTGTGGTTGGCCATTTTGGCCCTGCCCTACCCCTGGGGGTCATGATTTGAACAAACTTAAATCTACACTACCTGACGATGCTTCCATATAAATATGATCAATAATGGCTTTGTTGTTCTTGACTCTTGAGGAGAAGATTTTTAAGGAAATTTCCTATATATTTCTATGTTAAACTTTGGTCGGCCATTTTGGCCCCGCCCTACCCCCGGGGGTCATGATTTGAACAAACTTGAATCTACACTACCTGAGGATGTTTCCCCATAAGTTTCATCTTTCCTGGCACAGTGGTTCTTGAGAAGAAGATTTTTAAAACATGCCACCAAATTTTCATTAATTCCCAATTATCTCCCCTTGAATGAGGGCGTGGCCCATTCATTTGAACAAACTTGAATCCCCTTTACCCAAGGATACTTTGTGGCAAGTTTGGTTGAAATTGGCCCAGCGGTTCTTGAGAAGAAGTCGAAAATGTGAAAAGTTTACAGACAGACGGACAGACAGACAGACAGACGCCGGACAAAATGTGATCAGAAAAGCCTACTTGAGCCTTTGGCTCAGGTGAGCTAAAAAGTCTTACTTAATCTGACTACAAAACTAACAAGTGCAAGATAACAAATGTAGCTATTCCCCAAAACACATGGCCTTCTCTATTAATTAAGTTCATTTTGTATGTTAACTGTATATTAAGAGTTTAAAAGTACAGAGACACAAGCTCATTCTCAATATACATTTTTTCATAACCTATCAGGATTAAACAAGTAAGGAATAAAATAAATAATACACTGTTACCTTGACCTCTGGTGTTTGGCCCATTAGCCCCCCCCCCTTTTTTTTATCTTGACCTCTGGAGTTTGATCCTTTAAATCTCCCTTACTTTGACCTCTGTTGTTCAGTACAATTAATCCCCCTTACCTTGACCTCTGGAGTTTGGTCCATTAAGTCCAGTCTAGACAGCTGTACGTAGTCACAGTCACCACTGGCCACCCACAGGTAAACCTTTCCACCGTCCTGCTCCTGGCATACAAAAATCTAAATGTCAGTTATCTTATTCTTTATTATTTCATGACTGTGCTACATTTCAGAAAAATGCACCAATTTTTTGTGGCAGATGTTGTGTATACATGTATCTAAAAATTTCAAAGACCTTAGTGAAAGAGGTAGATACTCATTATGCGTCTTAAAAAATGATTGAGTGCAACTTTTCTGCTGAATACTAGACCTACCTGTATTGTGAAACACTCTACAGTTGTGCCTTTAGATATTGGGATGACTCTCTTCAAACCTAAAATTTCTGGATCCTTTAGCCTCTCCCAAACTTGGTGTGACTAAAATATCAATAAATTAGAAGTCTAGTTAATTAAGTTCAGAATATTTCAGAATTCTTAAGCCAAAAAAAAATTAATGAATAGTTTCTCAGGCCAAAAAATTCAAAATTCAATGCAGCAGGAAGGCTTTTTTTTTTTTTTTTTTTTTTTTTTTGAAGCAGGTTTGACATTTTTTTAGCCATTTGTTCAATAAAATGATAATACAGCCTACTCCGGATATATTGAAATCCAGGGGACCATGCAAATTATTTCAATATATCCGTAATTCAATATAAGCGAAATCGTGAAGCTGCCACTTTTACAAGTTCAATCCCGCTCTAAAATAAGGAAGAACAAACCCGAACAAATTAATTTTGTCATCGTTTATCTATAACAATAAACAGATTACATAGAATATGAGTCTTTGAAAGTTTAATTTTTTTTTTATTTCTGTTTCATTGAAAAGACAATCTGCAACCTCATTATTATTCCCCGATCGCATTTATTAACGTTTTGGAGGAAATTCACAGGACTTAAACGGTTGAGTACTGCTGAACGCTGCTTGTATTTCATCGTAAGTGTACTCGGGTTAATTCCTTAGTTATTTCGAATTAAGGTATATCAATAGCCATTAACAGCACGTATTTAATTTCAAAGTTATGTTTTTTTCCCTAGATCTGTGGGGGTTACTATTTTACGTTTAGCTGTTTAGTCTCGAAATGTCCAGTATTATATACGTGGATACAAAGAATTTAACAGAGAAGAATTTTATTTCGTAAGAGCATGCAGTATAAAAACAGATAAGGTGAAAACTTAATTATTCACACCTGTGTATATCAACTGGTCAATCGGGCATAATTACTGTCACCAACAGTAACGACAGCCACTAGGGAGTACTTCAATATAACCGTTAGGAAAACAACTCATTATCACCTGTGGGGGACCGATTAGTGGCTTCAATATAAGCGAAATTTCAATATATCCGATTTCAAAATAACCGTTATTTTAATGCAAAGAATATGAGAGGCAAAAACTGGGGATTTATTTCTATTTCAATATAAGCGGAATTTCAAAATAAGCGAGTTCAATATAAGTGGAGTAAGCTGTATCTACTAATTCTTAATTTTTTTTTCTGATATTAGTTAAAATATGTATTTAACTTTAAATAATGTTATTCCAAACATTTATTAAAAAGTTAATTCATAAAATACTGTAAATTTAGAAGAAATGTATTGTATTTCTAATAAAAATTTATGAAAAGGGGAATAACTCGATTTTCTTTTTCAACTTAGAAAAATTGAAGATTGAGTTATTTCCCTTTTCAATATGTCAAAAAAATTTATCAATGCGGCCGTTTTTGAACTGATGCGGCGGTGCCTGAGAAACTATTTATTAATTTTTTTGGCCTTACAGGAGATTTTTTTGCAAATACATTAGTTTCATAATGACTGAAGTTTAGGGCTTTGTTTCACAGTATGATATAATGTGGATCAATAAAGTTTGTGACAACGCCTTATACTATAGAAAAATTGTGGATCAGAGGTAGCATCCAAATCAAGACTGGTGAGTTCATTCCTAGATGCATCATCAATGCAAGTTTGATCAACATTGGGCATACAGTTTCTTGGCGATGGACTTGCTTCAAAAACATCAAATTTTGAAAAATGTTGGTCAGATCCAGCATCTGAAGCAAGTCTGCATGAATAATTGACTGCCATAGAACTACAAACTATTGCAGAATAAGTATGACTTACTGTTGGTCTTTTGTCTGGAGATTGATTCATACAGCTGGTAATTATTGTCTGCATGTCTGGCCAAGGCTGACACCCCTTCTGTGTTATGGGTGGGGCCAGATGTCCCTAAAAACAAGCATTTACATGTCAATGTATATGAAGACAAACAGTTCCTGTATAGTAAATATTGTCTGTAAAAAGAAACTTAAACTATTTTCATTAATTTTAATACCTCAGCAATGACTCTGTCCATCTCTGTTTTGTAGTCGTAGTCATCAAATGGGTGGCGGCCTCCACTCACCAGAGCATACAAGGTTATACCAAGGGAGAAGACATCAGCCTAGAGGATTGTAACATGTAATTGTACCATCAGTTTATTACTTTTTAACATAAATGTTTTAATCAGTTATGGAATTAACTCTTTCCTTGAACTTAAACAACCCTTAAATAAATTCAATCGAAAATCTAAAATCAAATTTTAAGTCTTATCAACTGACTTGAAGCCCAATCCCATTTTCCCCTAAAATGGTGTCAAATTAACTGATAATATAACCTATGATCCTGTACCTTAAATGAGTAGGTCTCCCCCCTGATGACCTCTGGAGCCCTGTAAGCAGGTGTCCCCTCCTGAGCTGTCAGACCATCAGGTGTAGAAAACCGAGAAATCCCATAGTCCGATATCTTAGCATTCACCTATCAATAAATAAAAGTCACATTTTACAGGAAATTCCTGTCTGATATCTTAGTATTAACATAGAGAATTCTAGTAATAGAGTTGCTGAATTTGACAAGGAAAACAAAATGTGTTTGTGAATCAATATGCGCCTGGCGGCTATTTTTAGCATATAGATCACAGTAAAGGTCACAAGGCCTTGATTTTGAAATTGAAAGAGCTAAATTAGTGGAGTATGCATACCAAATATAAAGTCGCTATCTATGGTTCAAAAGTTATGGCAAAGATTAAAGTCTACAGGCAGACAGGACAAAAAGAATATGCACCCCCATCTACTGCTCCAGGCGCATAAAACTCAAGTTTCACATCTGACAGAAAGAGACTGTAGATAAGTACTTACCACATCTGACAGTGAGAGACTGTAGATAAGTACTTACCACTTCTGACAGTGAGAGACTGTAGATAAGTACTTACCGCTTCTGACAGTGAGAGACTGTGGATAAGTACTTACCACTTCTGATAGTGAAAGACTGTAGATAAGTACTACATACAGGGTATTTTCGCCACGTGTAATTTTCGCCCTTTTACACTTGCAAACAATTTTGCCCCGTTTTAAATTCTCCCAGCCACAGTTTTAAATAAGAAATTATACTGTGTTCTTTTAATTAGCCCCATTTTAAATTCGCCCAATTGAAAGTAGGGCAAAAGGGGCGAAAATAAAATGGGGGTGAAAATTTCCCTGTATACAGTACTTACCATTCTGACAGTGAAAGACTGTAGATAAGTACTTACCACTTCTGACAGAAAGAGACTGTATAAGTACTTACCACTTCTTACAGTGAGAGACTGTAGATAAGTACTTACCACTTCTGACAGTGAAAGACTGTAGATAAGTACTTACCACTTCTGATAATGAGAGACTGTGGATAAGTACTTACCACTTCTTACAGTGAGAGACTGTGGATAAGTACTTACCACTTCTGACAGTGAGAGACTGTAGATAAGTACTTACCACTTCTGACAGTGAAAGACTAGTTAAGTACTTACCACTTCTGACAGTGAGAGACTGTAGATAAGTACTTACCACTTCTGACAGTGAAAAACTGTAGATAAGTACTTACCACTTCTGACAGTGAGAGATTGTGCAAGTACTTACCACTTCTGACAGTGAAAGACTGTAGATTAGTACATTGTCTGGCTTCATGTCTCGGTAAACAATCAACATCTTGTGGAGGTAAGCCAAGCCCTCTGATACCTGAAAACAATGGACTCGGTCTGAATCAAGAGTCAATCAACATTAAACTGAAAATAATACATTTATCTGCAGGTCTCTTTTCCATAGAAACTCTATTTCCTCCCAAATCAAAGAGGTCACTTTATATCATTAAAATTATCAAAAACAAGAGGCCCAAGGGCCTTGAATCACTCTTCTGATAAACTGTACAATCTATCACTTCTATTAGAAGCCTCCAACTCTATTAGAATCATAGGACCTAAAATGCATCAACGTACAAAGTTTGATAATATTTAGCCAGTTAAGACTAAAGATATTATAATATAATTATACAATACCATAAGTAGGTCACAGTGACCTACCTTTTGATTGAAATTTTCTGAGGACTCAAGATACATTAATTGACAAAGACTGATGATTCTAATTAAATAAGTACCTGAGATATTCAAAAGTAGGTCACCATGACCTACTTTTTGGTCAACATTCTCTGAAAACCCAAGATGCATCATCTGACAAAGTTTGACGATTCTAAGCCAATTAGTACTAGAGATAATTAAATATAGCCATCAAATGTCGAAAGGAGGTCACTATGACCTACTTTTTGGTCGACATTATTAAAAAACCCATAATGCCTAAATTGACAAAATTTGATGATTCTAAGCCAATAAGTACCTGAGATATTCAAAATTAGGTCACCATGACCTATTTCTTGTTGGACATTCAATGAAACTCTAAGATGCCTCAACTGACAAAGTTTGATAATTCTGAGCCAATAAGTACCAGATATAATTAAATATAGCCATAAAATGTCAAAAGTAGGTCACAGTGACCTACTTTTTGGGCGACGTTCTTTGAAAACCCAAGGTGCCTTAACTGACAAAGTCTGATGATTCTAAGTTTATACGTACCTGAGATATTCAAAAGTAGGTCACTGTGCCCTATTTTTTGGTCGACATTCTCCGAAAACCCAAGATGCCTCAACTGATAAAGTTTGATGACTCTAAGCCAATAAGTACCAGATATAATTAAATATAGCCATAAAATGTCAAAAGTAGGTCATAGTGACCTACTTTTAGGTCGACGTTCTCTGAAAACCCAAGGTGCCTAAACTGACAAAGTTTGATGATTCTAAGCTTATACGTACTTGAGATATTCAAAAGTAGGTCACTGTGACCTATTTTTTGGTTGACAATCTCCGAAAACCCAAGATGCCTCAACTGACAAAGTTTGATGATTCTCAGCCAATAAGTGCCTGAGATACTTATATATAGCCATAAAATGTCAAAAGTAGGTCACTGTGACCTACATTTTGGTCGACGCTCTCCGAAAACCCAAGATGCATCAACTGACAAAGTTTGATGATTTTAGGTCAATAAGTACCAGAGATACTTAATTATAGTCACAAAATGTCAAAAGTAGGTCACCATGACCTACTTTTTGGACGTTACTCTCCGAAAACCCAAGATGCATCAACTCACAAAGTTTGATGATTCTAAGCCAATAAGTACCGGAGATACTTACATAAAGCCATAAAATGTCAAAAGTAGGTCACCGTGACCTACTTCTAGGTCGTCACTCTCCGAAAACCAAATATGCATGGACTCACAAAGTTTGATGATTCTAAGCCAATAAATACCTAAGATACTTAAATATAGCCATAAAATGTCGAAAGTAGGTCATCGTGACCTACATTTTGGTCGACATTTTTCAAAGACCCAAGATGCATTTACTGACCAAGTTTGATAACCGTAGGTCTAAAGGTCTAAATATGCATTTTAAACAATTTGAAAACAAATGTCGGCAAAATTCAAAAAGTAGGTCACAGTGACCTACTTTTTCATAAGTATGTTTTAAGGTCCCAAGATGCATCGAAGTACAAGATTTGATGATTCTAAACCTCCCAGTGTCTGAAATAATGGGATTTAATGTTTTTAAAAGGATAAGTCATAAAGTTCAAAAAGTAGGTCACGGTGACCTACTTTTAAGTTGACATTGTTTGAGGACCCAAGATGCATCAACTGACAAAGTTTGATGATCACAGGCCTTAAAGTGTCCAAAATATGCCTTCAAATCAATTTGAAAACAAATCCCCACAAAGGTTCATTCTCTATAAGGCCATTTTCCGGCCTACGATAAAATCTCTTTAAAATGTGATTTTATATAACTATAATCATTCTAGTTCATGATTTTGATGTTTGTTTTTCAACATCGATCATCTAAGGCACGTGATTTAGAGATAAAAAATGGCTGTCAGTTAAAGAAAAATTGAGGGTAGGTCTATTTAAATCAAGTTTCTATGCATGTTTTTGAATGTAAATGATCAAAAATTGTTTATTTATGTCGGAAATACATCAGACCCAAGTAATAAATTCGAAGATTTTTTAAATTTAAGGTTTAAGATATTTTTTATGACAAGAATTCTAATGCATCCACATTTTGCATATTTTGAACGTAAATCTTTACGAAATTCACACTGTATGGTGCTGAAAAAAAGTTTGATTTGCAATTTATTGGAAAGTATTATATCATATATAATTATATTGTAATTGTATATCATTTCTATAGACGTGGTACTAATTTTACGCATAAAATAACCATGTTAGAAATGAGGTTTCTAAGTTTCTATTGAACTCTAAAAGTTATGAATCAAATGTTGAAAGCACTGAATGGATTTTGATTGTGATTAAATAAAATTCAAGTAGTAATTAAGAAAAGAAATTCAGCAATTGCAAAAAAATAAAGAATTAACAGCATAAGAATATCAATGCAAATATATGTTGACTATCCATATGCATGTAAATAGTCAATACATATAACTCAGAGCGGTTGCATTAAAATATACATCTCTAAGTAAAATGAAATAAGCTTTCATTCAATTACTCGTGCTGCACGATATATTCAATTAAAAATGCCTTCTAAACTTTATGTATTTACATGTATAAAATTTGAGACCCCCCCCCCCCCCTTGTCTAACGACACAACATAAAATGGAGCAGAATTTTAACAGTTCCTTCAACTATGCATATAAGGTTCTGAAGTTTTCGTATATACAAGTATACGGACTTAAGGGTTCTACAACATCCCAGGTTGAAAATGGACCCTAAGGGTTTAATGCTCCTTTCGCACTCTTGAAACCTGTAGGTTAAATTCAGTCTCTTTCCCAGTGCAGCATCAAAAACTTGTTTAACACGGATAGTGACAGTTCCCTACATAAGTCTATAGCATTTAAAGTAAATGTCATCGGTCTTTTGGATATTATCTTTTTTTTTTACAGAAAAGGGCCCCGTCCTGCGTTGGGCGTTGGTTATTAATACGACTATGTATAAACACTTGACCTTAAGTGGATGATTTCTTTATCTGGTTGAAAAATCCTTAAATGGGGTATAGCAACATTCATTTTATAAATCACATAATACATTTAGGAATCCCCCTCCACTTTACCAGTTTATTTTCTAAGACAGGACTAATGTTATCGTAACTTATGTCGATGAGTCCTCTCAATATTAAGACCCAGTTAACAAAATATGGATCAAATGATACTCGTACGGAAGTGTCCATATAAAAATTTTATGTGTACCTATAGGAAAAAAGGTCAATAATACAAATAATAAATGCATGTTACCACTTCAACAAAGATTGCTTTCATCATTTCTAGAACATATACACAGTACAGTACTCATAAGGAAATACAAAGAATATTTGTAGAACTCATAACGAAGTTCAAAGAAGTAGCACATATAGATATACTAATCTATCATTATAAATTTAAAAGATAACTCATATTCACACCTTATATTCGATAAAATGTTCTTATTTCTTAATTTTTATTAGACATTTCAAAGAAACGTCTCCACTTGTAATTTCATGACATCCAGTCTTCTCAGTCCTTTGATTTTTATATTTTCAAGTAAAAAGTTCACTTTTTTTAGTAAATATGCATTGCTGATATAAACCTTAGTAAATCAACAGAATATTGTTATATAACCAAAAATTATCAAAGAAATAATCTACATAAGCTGATATCCTTCATTGTGAGTAGTTAGCTTTTTCTGCAAATATCGTAAAAATGAATTAAAAAGTTTTTATTTAGATGTCATAACCACCTTTAACCAAACTCATAATTTGGTAGTCACTTTTTATGTTTATTAGAAATTTACATGCAAATTTTGGTGTTGGTTAAAGGTGGTTATGACATGCGTAGGAGTCATCTAATACAGCCACCCTGTTGAGTTTTCCCATTACTCTAATGCTAATACGGGCCGATAGTACCTTACTTTGTGACCCTATATCATTAAAAATACTATTGTATCATTAACCAATCAATATTTTTCATTAATTTGGAACATAAGCCTAGTGATTCATGCAATTTTTAAGGGAAAAAATACTATTTGACAAGAGGCCCATGGGCCTTATAGGTCACCTGAGTATCATGAAACAAGTCTCTGAACTGAGTAAAACCAAAATAATGAAGGAAGAAATATACACCTTTACCTCAGGAAACTTGAATTACAGTAGGGTTATGTAAGCTACTTGCTTCATTTTCATGTAATAATTCTGTACCATTATCATATGCCATCAATGCACGAATTTCAGATTTTTTTTTTCACAGAACATTATTGAAGTATGATGATAATGATGAAATGTTCTTTGTTATGCAACTTATATTGCGTTTGCAGTACGAAGATGCGGGACCATGAGTAATACTGACCCTGTGCAAGTTAGAGAGTCCTTCTATCCATACTAAACAACTTTTGTCACAACTGTAAACTTTAAGTGTTACATTAAAATTTCAAATTCTATAGTGATAAATCCTGCACTTTGTGGTTCTTATATATATTAATGTTTTGTTTAATTTATTATATATACTCTGATATGTAGTAATTTGTCCCTTCTTACATTCTTTTAAACATACTGTAATAAAAAATCAAACATTCAAAAGAAGTCATTAGATTTATTGGAGTTCTAAATTCACTCAGTATGATGATTTTCATGTATTAAGCAATGAAATTATTCAGAACATC